TTAGGGGGTGTAGTCCCTTTCATAGCATTTTTTGAAACATGTTTATAAGAAACTTTTGTCTTAAAATTAAATATTCTATCTATTTAAATTTGTACATAATAATAAAAATGAAACACTGTTAATTCACAAAAAAAAACACAAAAACAATTGGTTGTTGGTTGAACCCCCCTAATCCCCCCCTTTGGGTACGGCCCTGAGAGTTTCGACTGTATAATAATAGACGTGTCGAGCTCTAATAATTGTCGAATAAAAAAATACCTATCCAAAGAACATTCTTTTGTTCTCTAAAGGATGTTTTGAAGTTTTAAGTTCTTAGGAATGTTTTTTGCGAGGCGCCAGGATTGCGTCTGGTGTCAAATTGCCAAAACTGCTTCGACGAAATGACCAGAAATACATTTCCTACTTGCCTATTGAAGACTATTTATTTATTTGAAGAGGCAATAAGAAATATAAAACAAAATCTTTCAATGCGTTTCTTTTCCGGAAGTAATCAAATGTGCTCCCAGAAAAGTAATAAAAAACACAAATTGAGTAATCTTATTTTTTCGTATGCAATTACCTGTTATTTATAAACTAAAAAAAAGTTCACAAAGCTTATTATTTCAAGTTTTATATCAGAGAAAGATACCTTTTTATGTTCTTCAATTTAATTTAAATCGTAATGCTGATGTTCTGCTTATTGAATTTATTGGACCGCGTATCTAGAAGTCCCGCCAGGTCTCCGGACCACCCCGTAAGTAATCAAGAAGCACTATACCGTGTAACGCAACTGAAATGATCGCCAATCCGATATAGGTAATAGCCAATATCACACTACTCACACACCATTCAAGACACGATCTCTAAACCATTTCCGTAAACCATGTTCCCCAAGACGGAAATTAAAAAAATATATAAAAAACCCAAGTTTCTGCACTGTTTTAAACATTCATGATTCAATTTCACTTCGAATTCGATACAGTGACAATGTTTTCAAAACATCTTGGCATCCATGAAAACATCAGTCTTGCTTTATGAATAGAATAAGGCTTCATATCTCACTCTTGATGGATTATTTATATAATTTAAATACTTGTTTATATAACATCGCATATGTATTACTCCTAATATTTTTTTATTAGTGAAATGATCGAGTTTTTTTTTCAGAATTTGTTATCAAACGTCCAGAAGATAAAATCAGAACCTGATATCGGAAGTTACCCACTGTCTTCTCTGACTTCGACATTACCTCTTCACAATCACGGTAAGTTAATTGCAAGAATGGAAATAATGAAAATTGACCCACTAAATGGTTTCTACTCTGGAATCACTTTATTACATTCCTAAGTTTACATCAATAAATATGGAAATGATCAATTTCATATTTGACTATTAAAACTGGTTATCCGTTAGAAAAATAAACTGGCTGTTTCAGTGATAAAAAATTGAAGTCTAAATTATTTATCAAGCTAAGTATTTGTAAATAAGGTTACGGTTTACGCATTTCACATCTAAATATTTACGTATTTGTGGTCATGGCTAATAATCTGTGTTTTTCAAATGTAACGCTTTTATTGTTTTTATAAAACTGTGTGGATGACGTTGTCAGCATCACACGTCATAGGCCTTGCCTTTTGTCCTGGTGACTCTAGATAAGCTTCGGCAAGAGGTCATCATTCACACCACCAGAAAATCATAGAAAAACAGTGATATGTTTCTAATTTAATCATTACTAACTATATTGAGATGATTTTATGGAGAATAACTTTTTGCAGGAATGAAAATATTGCGGTCCAAAACGTAATTTTAAAAACAAATGAAAACATTTTCACTTCATCAACAACAGAGTTTCGAAGTGATGTAAATGCTGAGTGTTGTTTTATTTTTACGTAGCTTTGGGGTAAATGTAATTTTAATTTCAGGCCCAAATGTACGTTCTCCAAATGTAAAACTTGTTTGTTATATTTAAAATGATAATAGACTAATTGGATTGTTTATTTTTTATTTTAGTGAGTAAATTCCGGGATTTTTGTTTAATAAACGTACATGCATCAAAATAATCATTTTTATTCGATGTCTACACCCAATTATATTGAAAAAACAAATTAGGGAAACGGGGGAAAACACAATTTATTTTATTTTTACGCGAGTAATAACTTAATACAGTAACACAATAAAAAACGTAAGTAGTAAGGAATAAAACATCTTTCAAAATGCCTATATCGTATTTCACGTTGAAAACAAGTAAATAATTGGTAAAAACGCCCTAATTGGATAACTGCAAGTTTAACCCCGTCTTGTATAAAGTTACAGAGAATGAATGACAGGGATAATGGTACAACGCTTGCCTTTGGGCCTCTCATTAGGCTTCCATCATGCCCTAAAGCATGATATTGATACATTGTTTACGAAAGACCCTTGTTTTAATAGTAGCCCATTTATGATTCTATTAACGCAATCATTTGATTGATACTTTCCCTGATTTAACTTGAATTACGAAAAAATGGTTATTTAAAATAAAATTCTCTGGACAAAAGGGGGATTTTTATGATTACAATTTGCAGGATTCAAAAGGTTTTTGTTTGGTTGTTATACAATCGTAAAAATGCAATTTTGTTTGCTTTATTTTTTCCAAATTGTTGAAGTGAGTAGGGCGGAGCCATTATCTACGTCAGTTGTTCAAGTGGGAGCGTATAATAATCAAATGGGCGGAACGAAATCTTGTTCACGGTGCAAATTACGATTTACAGTAAATACATTGTGTATTTTGCCAATTTGACATGGACACAAAAAGAGAAAGAACAGATTCATCCAAATTAGTGTTAAAACCTGTAAAAATCAAATTGATGTATGCATTAGAATTATTAATTATTACCTATGTATTTTTTTTGGTATTTCTAAAAACAAAATAATGAGAAAGTTGATAGGTTTTGAATACTTAAATAACATTTTAATATTGAAAAACTGAAACTTGGAATAATTTATGAGGAGGTTTGCGGTAATTGGTGATCAGGCCAGAATTTCTTGACAAAAGAAAAAAGTCCGCAATGACATTTATGACGCACCTAGGCTCTATTTTGAAGCCTTCGCTCTATTATCAATGCATTAGCAGCACATCATCCCAAACTTGGTCATAAATTACTAGAATTCCCAATTTTCAATATTAAAATGCTATAGTTACTCAAAATTTATGAATTTTTACATTATTCAAAATTTTCGCAGTTACCATTAGAAAAAAAATCAAGAAATTTTATGATTAAGATTCCAATTAACCAAGCAGCTGACATGTGAGGTGTGACAAACCCCAACCAGTTTTAAAATGTGAAATTTTCTAAATCTCTTTCAATAGCTTTCCAAAATAGTTGTTTCTTTAAGTACACAATTTGATGACAGTATATTATTAATTTAGGATCCTTGATTTTTTTTGTTTTGCGTGGGGTTTGTGAAACCCCACGTGTCACTAAACTAAGTGTTCCTAAATCGTGTCTTGTCCAAAGTGAGTTACTACCTGTGTTTATTAGTTTTAGCTTCGAATTTTGAGATTATTTGATTTTATTTGTCAAGAAAATAAGGTTTTGATTTGATAAATGATTATCAGAAATAAGAAGGACCAATTTCCCGTAAGTACCCCGTAAGCTAAGAATGCCATTGCATAAAATTAGAGATAAAACTAATTATTAACTAATAATAAGTAACTAACTAATAACTAACTAATAAGTAACTAATTATTGATAGGGTATAATTTGAGAATTTTTCTATTTTTTTTTTTTTTTTGATAATAAATGAGTTCGTAACAGTTTTGTGTGTTTTATGAATACTTTCTGTTAATTTGCCAAAAATGTTTTTACGCTAAATGAATCTGTACCTGTCAGCGCATCAAAGTTTGATATCACAATTTCTTGTTTTTATTTAAACACAAACCAGACCCGTGGTTTATGAAAAAATTGTATAATTTGCCAACAAAAGAATCATTTACTGGTAGCCCAATTGCAGTTCTTCATTGTCACCTAAATTTACGATGGCACAAGTAGCAGGTCATAAATAAAAATGATTCTGATGAAGTTAAGATGGAAAATTGCGTTTAATTCAAAATCTAATTGGTATTTTTTTTCTGATTTTCTAAACAATTGTAAAAAGTGAATCTGCCTAGGTCAGTATAAAAATTAGAATTAATTTTTTTGGGAGAAAATTACTTTTTATTTTTTTTTTTGGTTTTGTTTGTGAATGAAAAATTACCAAAAAATTAGAGGATGTACCTTACTAATGCCCAGGTAAGTGTGAAAAAAATCAACAATTTTATTTAATTAGAAGTGGGGATTTTCTTTTTGGGCGTAACGGATGCCCCACCCGGTATACTAAACTAAAAATTAAAGCTTCTCCCTAGCATTAGAATTTTTATAGAGCTTGAATTATGATTGTTATGATGATACTTGTATAGAGGGTATAAATATTAGCCTCAATACAGTTTTTTTTCCATTAAAAATTAGCTCTGCGTTACTTTAATCGCTTTTGTTAAAGTGAGATGAATAGCGTAACCGAGCTTACGGAAATACGTTGCAAGCAACAGGACTGTTTTCAAATGTTGAAAAGAGATAGCTATGTGGTACGTCTTTCGAATTATTAATTGATCCACACGCATGTAATAAAAAAACGAACTTTAGGTATAATATTTTGTTGACAAATTTATTATTTTGATAAAAATTCAGTAAACTATAATGGGCCGCAATTATTAAACAGGATAGAGCTTAACTGTGGAGGGAAGTGTAGTAGCAAAAGCTGCAGCTTACATGATCTGTTTTCATATTTCAGCAACTCTAATTTGTAATTGCAGAATCAGACAAGCTTTTACAATTAAAATGCAGACTTAACGAATTAATTAATTTATAGGTCTTTTAACTGTGCTTTTGGTATGTATGAGAGATTAAGAAAAAAAAAACAAAAACGTGAATTTGTAGTCAGTTAAATTTTTGCGCATTTGGTGGCAAGTTTTCGCCGAAAAACTCTGCTTGTTGTGCGAAGTGCACTGAGAGAACAGTTTTTTACTAGTTAAAGATTTAGCTTAAATGTAAACTAATAATTTTTTAGAATACGGCGGAAGAAACTATTGTTATCAGAGAATAAATAATTTGTTTGGACTTTCCATACATAGCATTTCTTAGTTTTTAAGTGATTCTGATTTTATAAAAACTTAACATCTACTTTAATATTATCATTGCAGTGTTAATAATAAGAAATATTTATTAACAAGAAACAACGATCATTAAAGATTAATAATCTCGCATTAGATATTAAAAGATGTGTTCTTGATAGTTAAGAAGTATATCTTAAAGGGAAAAATATTTTTTAGGTAAAAATCTCCCGGATTGCTAATCAGTATAGCCACCAGCAGATATATAKACCTAACAAAAAAATAAAACTGTACATATATTATTTAGAACAATTTATTAAGAAAAATAATAAACATTTAAAACATCATTA